AATACCCTTTGATCCATAAAAAAGGGATGAAAGTCTCCTTGCATGACGCATTAAGATGGGCTGAACTATATAGAACATGAATTATAGCACTTTTTATGAGTGAAAAGTGACCTCTTAGGTGCCAAGATGATGTTCTTTTTCAACCTAGACTGCTTATAATAATTCTGTGGCATGGGGTCAAGAATGTAACGAATCATAATAAGAATGTAATCGTATCAAAACCTATACTGAAATTAATGTCATCGCTCTGAATTCCTGTCACTATTTAGTACTCTTCTCCATTCATATTGCAGTCAAATGACAATAAAACCTTGAATTCTTTTTCTAGAAGTAACGTCAAAAAATGTTGCACCAAGACAAATGGATGAAGAGTTTAAATCTAGTCCTTAGTACATAGTATTTGAAAAAAGAAGAAGGATCATACAAACTTCATTAATTCAAGAATTTATAAATTGTATTACTATAATTTCTTTTTCTTTTTCCTTTTTTTTTTTTTTTGGCCACAAATTATTTATTCTCTAGTTTTTGTATTAAATTCCTTTTTTCGTTGCACCACATGATCAGTGAGCCAACAGACTTATTGTTGATGCTCCTATGCAATTTTAAAATCACCGATTAAAAGATGAGGTTCCAAGTTATATCTTCTTTTCAGATGATATAGACTTTTAAGTAGAAACTTTAGAATCAAGTGGGTTTAAAACAAGTATGGCTAGAATTGAATGTATGAAATATAACTGTGACAAAACTATTTATCCCAAAAAGAAAAAGGATATATTATTTTTAATAAAACTGGAAATATGAATAGAAAAATAGTGAAGTTAGAAGGTCAAGAGAACAAGAGTGAACGCGTTGAAAGTTTATGGTTAATTATTCATTGTGAATGACAGATTAGCAATAGTGTTTCTTGTACCATTAATGGTAGATGGGTTCGCAGGAAGAATGCTTCAAGCATATTATTTGTGATCAACATAAGTAAATAAGGCCATCAAGGCCGATTGTTTGGTCCAGGCCTGATTTTGCAAGTGTTCGGGTGAAAAACTAAGGAGAGAATACCGCAAGGCATTTCTAAATCTGCTGGCACGGGCTGATCGTACATGGATAGTAGTTGGAGTCGGCGGCTGCATCAGGAGCTGTTGAACCAGGTGCTAAAGCATCGGTGTTTTGTATCCATTGAGAAAGGGGATGTGACTAAAGCCCGGGACAGTCGGCATGCAGGTTGAAAGAAGATTTCTTACTAGCTATTAGACCGACCATGCTTTATGGACAAAATATTGGTTGACTAAGAAACATGTTCATTAGGTGGAAGTACCTAAAATGCATATATTGAGATGAATTTATAAATGAGTACATTCAAAATATGTGGAAGAATCCTCATTGATTATAAATGAGAGGAACCTAAGTAAGATGGTTTGGCCATAGACAATGAAAACGAATAATTGCACTAGTGAGGAAAAGTAAGATGATTCACACTGAGAGTAATGCTACAAGGGAATTATAAGTTGAGATAGCAAAGAACAAGAAGGTAACCTATTGTCTAACCCAATGAAGGAGCCAGGAATTTATTCCAGGGGGCACATTAAACATGATTAAATAATTTTTTTTTTTTCCCTTCTAATTAACATGACAACTAACAGTAATCAAGATTCAATAAGTATGTCATTATTCACAAAAATTGCGGTAAAAAAAAAAAAAAAATTAAAAACATAAAATACTGACATTAAATTCATAAAATTGCAGAAATTAATTTAAAGGAGAAGAAGAAGAAGAGAGAGAGAAAAAAGAAAAAAAAAAAAAAGAATAAGAAGAGAGAAAAAAATGTTATTGCACATATATCACACATAAGTGAAAGAAGAAAAAAATTTAAGAGAAAAAAAGGAAGAAGAAAAATAAAAAGGAGAGAACTTTGGAAGAGACAAAATTAAGGTCTGATTAAGGGGAATAAAACATTTTTTGAAGGGACCAAAGAAATTTGAAGAAGAAAAACAGTAAAAGAGAAAATAAAAGAAGAACAAGAGAGATGTTTAGAAAAGAGGAATTTTAAGGAGGACATTTAGTAATATTTCAAAATTAAAGTAATTTTTAAAAATTATAGAGCCAGCTCAGGGGGTGCGGCTCCAATACTCTATATATGCATTATGCAACTAGAAACTTTTTCCTTTCTCATCTCCATTCTATAGCTTAATGCTTTTATTATTTTTCATATGTGATGCATGAAGATTTGTTTTCTATATAAAATAAACAAAAACTAGAAATTGTTAGTGAAGTTGAGATACAAGCATGGCGGTTTGTCACGTATGACAAGTCAAAGGGCCCCTCAGGTGCTCCCAGACACCATCATTTCCAGTTTTAGCACCACCGCTCATGTGAAAGACATATTCTTGCTTCAATTTATGTGAAAGAAAAAGATTACAGGTGAAAAAAGGCATTTAAATCGAGTTTGGTAATCCAATTACAAATTTACGATGCTAAGGTATAAAGATAAATGTGTATCACATTTTCAGAAAACTATCTCGAATTGCATATTAACATAACATACACTAATCAGCCCCAAACAAACTCTATAACAGGAAAGGAACTTGACTACAACAGAACTATAAATCTCTTCGAAGTAAAATGTTAACTAACCCCAAATACTTAGAAATCGGCTTTTTAAAGCTGAATTATGACAATAAAAATGTTTATATTCTTGCTGGATTGTAAAACTTGAAAATGGACTTACTGAGTTAAAGGAAGCATATAGAAAAACACAATCCTCATATAGCATACCATCATCCTCCGTTCTGAGGACCAAATCCCTCACAGACTCGACCAACCCTCTCTCCGGAATCATCTCACTAGAACCTGCCCGGACACCTTTTCTAGATTTCCCAAGTTCATCTAGCTCGAATCTTGAGCACATGATGAACCATTGACATCCTTTGTTTTGTCCGCAAGCCAATCTTCCCACCTCCTATTCTCTTCATTGCTCATATCTTCCTGTGCTTCTCTCAATTCAATGATTGCCTCTGCTCTCCTCTTCCACACTTCAAACTTCCCACCCTCAGATAACCCGTCTTCGCCGGAGCTCTCCAGTACCTCCTCTTCCACTTCAAGCATATCCTCATCCCTCAAACCAAGCCAATCTCCATCCTCATCGAAAAAGAACTTCTTCCACCAACTTCTCTTCCTTGACTGGCTTTTCTTTGCATATGGAATCAACCCACCAAACCTCCTTCTTCCCCCACTCAATTAAACAACAATATTCGACAAATTATGTGGATATAACAACGACTTGTGACAATTGCTTCGATTTGAAAAGATAAAGTTCTCACATAAGATCATTGAAGGGCTCATAAAGAATATATAGAGAACCCAACATCTTTCAGCCTTAGGCCAATTCCAACTCTGCTCACATGAATTCAAACAATAAATAAAAGAAACCATTAGAATGGAATCAATTCAAGATTGTTATTATTCCACAAAATTCGAGATGTTCCTCGTAAGAGACCACTAGCACTCAAGGTACCAAAAGTCCACAAACCCTAAAACCTAAACGCATCATAGTATAAAGAGAGAGAGAGAGTGGAAAGAGAGTACTTTGGGGCCAAAGCTGCTAGTTGTGGGGTTTGGCTATCCGAACAATAGTGTTTGTGGGGGGTGAGGATAGCGGTTTTGACTTTTGACTATTTGATCAAATTTAGAGTAGTTAAGATGACTATATTCATCCTTTATCGTCATTCTACCCTTACAGTTCTGAGATATCCCAACTGGTTTTTCTGTGTTTTCATGGTGGCATCCAAGTAAATCAATTCAAAACACGGGGGTAATACTGTACATTCATTAAAAAAACTATTCATTTTTTTAGGTTAGTACACTAATTTCGTTCTTCACTAGAAATTCATCAACGCTACTGGCAACTGCTTTTGGGGTAATTTACGCCGTTTTCATTAATAGTAGCACTATAATTTTACGGCAAAAAGTGAGTGCGATTTTACATTTTTTTTTTACTTGTTTTATATTATTAACTAAATAAGGTAGCTAAGCTAGACTTTGATTTTTAGATGAGTCCATTTTAAACATTGTTAATCTCGCCTGGTGTAAGTTTGTATGCACCAAACTCAAGTGGATTCGTATGTGTGGATGAACGAAAACTATTGAAGACGATCATTAACATAAACTTGTATAAGTTCAAGCTCATAAATATAAGTTCATTAATACAGTAAAGATTTGTGTAAGTTTGTATAAGTTTCTGTACAAATCAAAATGATTTTGGACACTAGATCAAATCGAATTCAAACATGATCTTGTTATCCAAGTTATTTTTTTTATTGAACGAGTTGAGTGTACAGCTAAACTGAGGTTGATCTTTTCAAAATGATTTAAGCCAAACAGCCTTATGAACTTGTCAAGTTCTAAAGTGGAACTCAAAAATGAACTACCCCTAATAGTCTCATTTTCGGATCATCTTACTTTCAAGAATGGAAATGATATTTTATGTGCTGTTACTGAAAGAATAATGCCTCTATTGAGATTTTTCAATATTATACTTTTAGCTCTCTGATAAATTAGACTATTCTCCCTTGAAGTATGGATTCCCAAATGTAGTGTATGAAATAATTATATGCACATACCATGAGCTAGTTTGGTGTGATAGAAGGAAATAAAAGAAAGTAAAATGGAATGATTTTTATTTCATTCTCATGTTTGGTGCCAATTTTAAAATTAGAATCATCATTTCCCACTATTATTGGAGAATGATCAATCCATCAAAATCATTTCACTTCCAAATAAAAGAAATGACCATTCTCATTCCATTCCATTCCATTCTATTCTATTCCCACCTTCATTCTCATTCCATTCCAATTTATTCCACCACACCAAACTAGCCCTAAAGAACAAGTTCAAAAATATTCAATAAAAGTGTGTGTGAATATTGTTGGGTTCGCACAACAAGCAAAAGGGTTTTTATCTAATGAAGCCAACGAATGACTTCGAGAATAGCAAAACTGTGTTCAATTGAATGAGAAGATTATACAATTGAACAAAACAAAGGAGGCAGTTCAAGCATGTAATTAACATGCTCACACACAAACCAAATCATGGCATTATGAAAGTGAGAGCATTCAGAAAAATCAAGCTGGAAAATGAGAGCAAGCATGGCATCAAGTGTCTTGCACTCAAAAATGAGTGTGCACAATTTTTTTACAAAACAAGTAATAACATATTCACCATTGACACTGTACTTCAGGCCATCCCTTCCTCAACAAGTCAAAATCTCGATTGATTACAACAGAAAGGATTTTGTTTACATCCTTTTCTCCCAAAGAAACCACACGAGAATGACTTATGGGTTCATCGCTGGCCGCCGCCCCTGCAAGGTAGTTTGCTAGGACATTCTTCTCCCGCGGGCAATGTCCAAAATAAACTGAAAAACAAAATCATCGCACTATGAAAGTAAAGAGCATTCAGAAAAATCGAGCTGGAAAATGAGAGCAAGCTTGGCATCAAGTGTCTCGCACTAAAAAATGAGTTTGCACAACTTTTTTACAAAACAATAACATATTCACCATTGACAGTGTACTTCAGCCCATCCCTTCCTCAACAAGTCAAAATCTTGATTGATTAAAAAAAGGATTTTGTTTACTTCCTTTTCTCCCAAAGAAACCACGTGAGAATGACTTATGGGTTCGCAGCTGGCCGCCGCCCCTGCAAGGTAGTTTGCTACGCCATTCTTCTCCCGAGGGCAATGTCCAAAATAAACTGACTAATGAAATTCTTGCCCATCTTCTTTAACAATTTTAACCGACTTCAACTCATTTAGTATGTGATTTTTTTAGACATACGACGTCTCTTCTTAAGAAGATGATTTCGTCTTATCTTCACCTCATCTCTTTTTTAAGACCCGGAAGTAACTCAACAACATTCTTACAACCTATCCCAATAAAACGCTTTTGTGACACCCTCCAAGAAAGGAATCACATTCTTTATCACCCTAATACCCATTCACGTCATCGGAATTTTCAACCCCATAACACCTCCCACAACTGTATTTCCTTTCTTGGAGGGTGTCACAAAAGCGTTTATTGGGATAGATTGTAAGAATGTTGAAAGAGATGAGGTGAAGATAAGACGAAATCAACTTGTTAAGAAGAAACGCCGTATGTCTTTTTTAAATCACATACTAAATGAGTTGAAGTCGGTTAAAACTGTTAAAGAAGATGGGCAAGCATACCCTCAAGCTCAGGTCTACGCTTAAGTGACCCATCCAACTGCCCACCCTCAGGCGCTTAAGTGGCCCATCCACAGCCACATTCAACCAATCAGAGTTGACATCAGCATAGCATATTGCTTTAGCAGGACAATTCAGCAGTGTTATTGGGGACTGGTCCAACACAAAAATATTGTTCTCTTCGATGTTGTCGTAGAAGCATTCCTCCGACAGAGAATGAGGATAAGACCAAAGAAGGTTCATAAAATAAAAAATAGAGAAGTAACGTGATTTCTTCGTAAGATCTAATTGGAGGGTATTCCAAGATCCCCGAATGTATCTCCCACCATGCTCCAACTTTTTTCGTTGAACAGAAGAATATACAGTATGGACCTTAGGAATCCTAAGGCGCCACCACATAAAAGTCTTCGATTGTGATATACTTCATCGGCTTGGTATCCCTAACCCCATCAGAATCGATTACACTTTTATCTTTCCTCAACCGCTTAATCTTTAGTAATTTTTCGTTGAACTTCTGCTCATAAAAAACAGTATGTCCGCAAATCAAACAATATATTTGTTTAATAAATCTGATATATAAAACTGAAAAAACTACTGCATCCTTTTAATCACATGAAGCCAAAATCTTTCAAGTATCCGTTACAAAAATGGAAACGATAATAAAATTCCCAGAAGGGCGAAAAGCTATAGCGGAACACAACACAATGCAAATTTTCGAACATCTTTGACACCATTTCAAGCTCTGAACAATATGCCTTCATTATGGACTTATGTCTTCAATTTTCAAACAAGCTACAAATTTTACCCAATTTCTATATGTGTGTGTGTGTTACATTGTTCCAATTAGACCCAAAACAGAGACCCAAATTTTACCCAATTTCTAATTATAAAAAATTAAAAGTATACATCCAACATATCAAAATTATAATCATAAGAAACAGAGACCCAAATATTATGATTTACAAGTGTCAAATAGCATATTGTAAAATTCAAGACATAATCCAAATATTACAATTTACAAATGTCGGAGGGTCAAATCAAGACACCCAAATTCTAATAATACAAAACAGAGACCCAAATATCATGATTTATACAATTGTCGAACAGTCAAATCAAGAAACCTAAATTCTAAAAATACAAAAACAGAGACCCAAATATAATGATTTACGTGTGTAAATAGTCAAATCAAGAAATTCAAATTCTAATCATACGAAACAGGCCAAATACCATGATTTACAAGTATCAAAAGGTCAAATCAGAAAACCCAAATTCTATTCATACAAAGCAGAGACAAATATCATGATTTACAGAACAAACTCACATATGATACTTTTGATTCAAAAGTTTTTCAAGTAAGGGTAATAGTTTAATTTGTCAAAATAAATAAATCAATAAGAAAGCTTGATTAATAAATGCAAATGATGTTTTTAAGGAATATTTGCAAATAAATAAGAAAATGACAAATACAAAGTAGCATCCGTAACTAACAAAACAGTCCGAAAAACATACCTTTTTCCGAATCTACTCAATCCACAGGAATTTTTTCTCTTCCAAACAAGTAAACCTACAATTTGAAGGGGAAAAAATTAATATTTTTGAAATATGGACATTAGTATTGAAGTATTTTTTTTTTTTTTTTTTTTTCTTGAGCATCCCAATCATAAGAATGCATAACCTAGTACATAAAATCAGAAAAACAAATATGTCATTATTATAGTCCTTAAAATGCTAATTAAAGAAGTGAAATTACTGCATCCCAATCATAAAGATGCATAACCTAGTACATAAAATCAAAAAAAACAAACATGTCATTATTATAGTCCTTAAAATACTAATTAAATAAGTGAAATTACTACATGAAGACTGAGGAAGCATAGCCAAAACTTTAATCTATGCTGTCAAAAATAACATAGGTCTAGAAGTATAGACCAACGAGAATGTGAGAGAATCGTCGAAAGGAGAACGGGCTGAAAGAGATCGACACACAGAGGGAGCGGCCGGTTGGTGAAGAGGGTGCGATAGGAGAAATGGATAGGTGAGCCATATTCGTCGGAAGGAGATGGGCACTAAGAGAATGGCAGGTTGGCAAAGAGAGTGAGAGGCAAGAAACTGGTAGGCGCAGCCACTCAGCTGATTTAGGTTAGGTTAAGACTAAGAGTTGAGATATATTTGTAGCAATACCTATACAAGCGTAAGGGTATATGGGTAATAGTAATATACATTCGAGGCAGCAGCTAGGGGTGCAAGTTGGGTGGTCCCAACCCGAATTTGGGTTGTATAAGCCCAACCCGAGCACCATCAAAACTCGGGCTCAGCCCGTCGATCCGAACCCAATAATTTTCAGTTCTGGCGGGATGTTGGGCTGACCCGATTTTATTATTTTTATTTTTTTATTTTCTTTTTTCACCTCTTGTTTGAAACTTGCCTGATTGCTGGAAACAAATCGGATTGGCCTCCAATATTTTTTTCTCCCCTTCTTCAACACCCACCCACCCTAAAAAACAGTTAATGCCAAACAACCCCTTAGGCCCTTACACACTCTCTGCAACATGGAAAATTTAAAAGCAGACCCAAAACATCAACAGAGAAACCTACCAAAATCCAGTCTAGATGTTTATGCAACAATTACAGATTCATCATTTAAGGCTTCATAAACACCACCATCCCAGAACAAGACACCAGGCTCACCATACTTATGTAAGTCATGTTATTTCTCAAATAGGAGATGATCAGTGGCAAGAAGATGGTGATGACGGTAGTGAATGAGACGATGGCGACGTCCGGAGGCGGCGGCAAGACAACGATGACCTAAAGAGGCGACGACAGGGACCTACAGAGGCGATGCCGACTATGGGAGAGATTCTCTATTGAATGACCTATTTTGTAGGATTCTTGGAACGGCGTAATGGTGTTCATTAATAATATACTCTTTCAACAACCGTAGGTTCAAATTAACCAACAGGTAAGATTTAATCTAAAATTGTAAAATAATATATATATATATATATATATATATATATATATATATTAATGTGCAATTCGGGTTTCAGGTTGTGCTCGGGAGCCCAACCCGAAATAGGCCCAAATTAAAACTTTCAGCCCGAGTCTAACCCAACTTCGGGCTGGGCAGGGTTGAACACACCCAACTTGCACCCCTAGCCGCCTAGGGGCAAGTGTTTATCAAATCCGTTTTATCGGGTTGAACATTAGTAGTTGAAGTATTTTTATTCACGACTTAAACTAGAATTACAATCACACATAGTTGTTAAAAGCGCCGAAGGCGCCTACAGGCGCTTGAGCTGCGCCTGCCAAGGACTCAGGCGTGACCCTTAGAACAGTCACGCGCCTCTGATGCAAAGGCGAGGGGCTCCAGGCGTTAATAAGGCGCGCCTCATTTAAGTTGCCTCTTTTAAATGATTTGTTTATTATTTTTATTAACTTTTATAACTTATTAACTTATGCTATACTATATTTATTACCATTTATAACTTATATTATTGTTTTAGTTGACAAAACAAAACAAAAAAGAAAAATAATAAAAATAAAAGGAAAGTAACAAAAAAGGAAGACAGAAGACTCAAAGAAGGGCTAGGTCTTGCGATCGACTCAAAGACTCAAAGTGAATCTGCGACTGCTCTCTCACGAATCGCGATCCAGGTAAGTTCTCTTCTTCGATCTTCTCTCTTCTTTTCTCTCTTTTTTTCTCTCTCCTTCTTCTTCTTCTTCGGCAGATTCTTCTCTCTTCTTTTCTCTCTCCTCCTTCGGCAAAAATCTCTCTCCCTCCTCCTCCTCCTTCTTCGGCAGAATTCTTCTCCTCCCTTCTTTTCTCTCTTCTTTTCTCTTTCTTTTTTTCTCTCCTCCTTCTTCTTCTTCTATGGCAGATATCTTTTTTTTTTTTATTCTTCTTCTTCTTCTTCTTCTTCCTGATTATTATGTTTTCTTTTTTTTATGAAATCTGCGGTGCACATTTTGTTGCCATGAAATGTGGTGCACATTTTGTTGCTGATATAAGGGTACTGATGTTCCACTAAAGCATGTGGGTATGTTTGCTTTTTGTGTTGGTCAGTGCAATTCTTTTAGTAATTGGATTTTGCTCCAAATATAGCTGCTAACATTTTCAATCCTCTTGCCATGGATGGGGTTCCTTTTCAATGTCTCCCTTTTTACCTTTGTTTTTGGGATGATGGGTGGACTCTCACAGTCAAACATGTAAAGATAATTGATTTAGTTGATTTTTTGTATCTTTATATATACTATTGCATCTTTATTGGGTGGTTTATTTTATTTTTTTCCAACGTGTGCCTTGCTTCAGTCGGGCGCGCACCTCGCCTTGCGCCTCAGGCTCCAAGAGGCCTTTGCGCTTTTGTGCGCCTTGAGCCTTTAACAACTATGCAATCACAAGGATACATAGCATAGAAATAGCAAGAACGATACAACTAAAGAACTTGCTTAAGATGATTTCAAATAGTACATGAAATAGAAAAAACAACAATGTCATTATAAAACTTAAAATGCCAATTAAAGAATATGAAATTAACTACCTGAAGACCAAGGAGGCATGTTGCTCGATGGCGCTTTGATTTGAAGTTGTTAGAGCCAAAACTTTAATCTAAGCTGTCAAAAATAACATAGATCTAGAATTATAGACTAACACAAGTTACATAGCACAAGAATAGACAAATAGAGATATGTACACATATTTAACAAATTAAAAGAAATAAAATAGATCCATAAAATCATGGCAATGAAGTTGAGAAAATTAGTACATTTAAGTGACATAAGAACCAGAAGGCCTTAGCTCGTTAAAAAATACAATAAAAGATACACATAACACATGATATGCATATGTTTATGTTGAAGAAAAAATAAAAAATAAATTATTCTATATATCTCCCAAAATTTAGCTTTCTATGACAATTAACTACTTACAAGTGAGTAATTTTGGTGGGTGTGAAATCATGTGCAATTCGTCTTTACTTCCTGGCAATTATTACAAAGAGAGACGCTCGTAGAAAAATAGCTTTGTGGTGGCAGTCAGATTAGGAAGGAGGCCGAAGATATGTAGATTAAGGTTAGAGTTTGTATACCACAGAAGGATTGAGAAACTGCAGCTGCTGCTAGGGTTGGGATGAGATGATGGGCTAGGGTTGAGATGAAATGAGGGCTAAAGCATTTACATAGGGCGTTGTTGAGGGAGGGGTCTGGGAGCTCAATTTGGAGTTTTATAGTAGAACACTTGTTGAGCCTCAATGGACGGAAAAGCCCAAAGTTTTTCTTTTGTATTTAATTTGGGTAAATTACCCTGACCTCCCCTGAGGTTTACTATTATTACCCTCAAATCAAAATTATTGCAAAGTAAACAGAGCCACTGTCAGACTATCAGTTCCATTTAGTAAACTAATAACCACTGTATAATTACAAAATAGACCTTAAATAATGCTTCTTGCTGATGTAGGCCACTAATAAATATATAATTTATATATATACTTTCCTCCACAGTCTCACGCTAGCACCACCGCTACTGCCCCCAATGTGGTCACCACTCCACCACCACCACAGTCACTACCACTTTCTCACTGCTAACTCCCACACAATCCCGTGGACTATCCAATAGACTCACCCTCAACTATTACCAAAAAAACATGCCCAATATCTGAACAGGTCTTGCAAGACACCGTCACCAACAAGCAGATCACCTCCCCCACCACCACCGGCAGCGCCTTCTACCTCTTCTTCCACCTCATCAAGGGTTGCGACGCCTCCATCTCCTCTACCACCTTTGACGTCGTCGTCTGCACCAAGACCACCCTCGAGCTCACATGCCTCGCCGTCGTCTCCTATGCCGACATCCGAGTCCTCCCTCCTCCAGATCTTGTATCAATTCTACAATGTCAAATTAAACCATAGAGATGGATTGATCTCAACAGCATCTCATGTTGAAGGGAATCTTCTGAGACCAACCTTGTCAATGAAACAATTGTTTCAGATTTTTGCATCCAAAAACTTTTCAATTCAAGAAATGCTGACACTGAGTGGTTGAGAAATGCTTGTGCTGATTATCAAAATTGCCCTAAAATGGATTCCAACAGGACCCATTTGAGACTTCGAGTTTTTAGGGTTTGGAATGGATGGTGTGGTTGAGACGATAGATAGGGTTTGCGATGATTGAGAGAGATTATGATGGGCGCTAGTAGAGGGCCGGCGGTGGTGCAGCGGCAACATTGGGGGGTTAGTGTGGCAATTCTAGGCAGCACGGAGACGGATACAAGACACGGGTACAACACGAAACGGACACGGCAATGATACGCCAAATAAAGAAATAAATAAAAATATAATATTATACATAAAAAATTATCTTTTATTCTTCAACCATACAATAATTGTACTTAAAGCAATTATGCAAATATACAAAAATTCTTTTTTATTTAGGCAATCAAGCAATGCTAATTTGCAAGTTTACTACAAAAAACATCTTTACTTCATAGACATCCATCCATTTATCCTAGGGCATCTACATTACCCATCTATTAGCAGCATTCAAGGACTATTACAAAACCATACAATAAATGTAAATAAAGCAATTATATGGTCATCTTGCTCACTCAAATCACTAGAGCCCTCCGGAACACTAGTCTTCCTAAATAACAAACATAACAATGTAAATAATAAACAACAATAAATTGTGTGTGTGTGTGTGTGTGTGTGTGTGTATATATATATATATATCTTACTGATTAACAGTACAATCTAAATTGAATATATAAACTAAATCAATTCAAAAATCCAACAAAATAAACACATAAAGATATCCAAATTATTAACAGAACTAAATCTCTTTCTAATATAGTCCTGAGTCCTGACAGAAACAACCACAAAAATGCAATTTATAAGCTAGTAAACTCTTCAACAACCTCAAAAAAAGGAAGGGAATAAAAAAGCATATTACTGACTAAAAGAATCGAATCAGAGCATGCCATTCACAAACAATCACCGAAATTTAAATAAACAACCAAAATTTTTCTAACAAAACAAAAAAGAAAATGGACTAATGAGAAACAGAGGGTAGAATGACGAAAAACCGTAACTATAACCTGACTAGGGCGGAGAGATTCAACATGAAAACCCTAACCCTAGAAGTTGAAATGAAAAATACCTGGTTGATGGTTGCAGAGATCTCCACCTTTTCTTCTTCTTCCTCTTCTTCTAACTTTCTCTCTTCCTGATTTGGCTTAATATAAGAAGTGAGAGAGAGAATCGTTGCTTTCAGACTAGTTCATGCCCCAGGAACGAAGTCGGGCTGGAGGTCTGGATCTAAAATGTGAAGGACTGGATGTTGTTGGGGTCTTTGACTCTTTGGGGCTTTTAAAAGCATTTTTGTTTTATTACAATTTGACCCTATTTTTTAAGCTATAAAGTTTTTAGTATTACAAATTTACAATCTGACCCTGCTTTATAAAATCAAAAATTACAAAATTACCAATGATGTATCCAAAAAGTATCTCTAAACGTATACGGTATAGAGACATAACCTAGCCGTATCTAATATTCAAAATTTTATTTTTAAAAATTGTCAGGAATCAAACACTGTAGGTGCAAAATTTCTCTCCATAAAAGAAATTAAAAGAAATAATACAACTCACTCAATAATACACAAGCATTACTTAGAGAAAAGCGTATATTGCTCGATGATCTTTATTGGAGAACTAAACCTCTATTTATATACAAGAAGGTGGTGGAATTATGGTAGGACTCGACTTTCTTGTCCTCTAATTCATTCCATATACAACTCTTTACCAATTAAGTTATTTCCTTTTGCCATTATCTCTATGTTAGATTTTTCCTTTTGTAGAACTTCCATTTCATGTAGGATCCTTTTTGTAATAGGACTTGTTCCATCTTTAATGGAAGTGGGCCGGATATAACTTGGATTGACTAAGCTTGCTAATAGGCTGAAAACTTGGTATTAGCGACCTTGGGTTGATGGCGACTTTACTTTGGGCTTGACTATAATTGGGTTTTTTCAGTCCATCAAATGATTAAAGGTATAATTTTATACTGTGGTGACGTGGACGATTCTCACTGGAGGGGGGTTTTTCCCTCCACACTTTGCCCCCAATTCCCTCTTTAATTTGACTACGGCTCCTAATTAAAAGGAAATTGAAGTTACACGGTTGCCAATTTTGTAAGAGGCGATTCAAGGAGTGTCTATTGCCATTCTTACTCAAGAGCTTATTTAAGACTTGCTTTTGTCTTCACTGCGTTCATTACGTTCCCTACATTCTTTGCTTCGTTGTGACACCAGATTTGCTTTTCATCTACTTCTTTGATCTCGCATCATGAGCACCTCACCCACTCACGACCATATAGAAATTGTAGATTCTAAGTCCACACCCTCGTCTTCTCCTAATCTCATTAGGGTTCCTCCTCCTAGGGTTTCTAACCCTCTTGAATCTACGAATGATTCGGCTAACCAAATGGGTGACTTGTTACCTCAAATTGACGTATCCACCTTTAAGTCAGATATCATTTTCACCAAAGAGGAGAGAAAAATGATTCTATCTATTCGGCGTCTCAAGTTCATCATTGATTCTGTAATGGAGGAATTTGAAATCCCTGAGGGGGTAGAAATTATCGAATACCCCAGGAAAGCTGATTTCAGTTCAGGCGAAGGCGTTGAAGGGAATGAATTGCTTCTATCGGTCGGGCACCTTAATGCCCTTTGTTTTCCTCTTCACCCATTTCCACCACTTGGTCTTTAACAAGTTAGGTCTTTCCCCTCTTCAAGTAAATCCTAACTTTCTTCGAATAGTCTCGGTTCTTCTTGTTCGTTGAAGACTAAAGAGTCTTGATTTGACTCTCGTCAACCTATTGATCACTTACACCATCTCCAGGCATGGGACCGAGCCTGGCCATTTTTATTTCACTTCCACTCTTCAGCAAAGGATATGCACGAACCTCCCTTCCTCTAAGAAGAGATGGAAAGAGAGGATGATAATTGTTAAGGGGAACTAGTCCGTGCCTCAGTCGAATAAACTCCCAATCCCTCGCAAATTTGGGAAGTTAGGTATAAAATATCTTCCCTTCATTCATAAAAAGTGCTCTGGTTGCTTCTTATATCAAGTTTAACTTTTTCGCCACTTACGAATTTCTTGGTGTTTTTTCAGCACCATTCCCCTCCTACGCAGCGAAGAAGAGACTTGTGTTTCTCGAGAAACAAGTCTGGAATGATCCTCCTTCAGTTGAGGAGTTACTTTCTTTAACCAATCTTAAGGAAATCACCCTCAGTGCTGCAGCTGCTGGCTTGATGGATTTAGCACTCCCCTCATTTGATAACTTTCCATTAACTGAGGAGGAGAAGAAAAGGGTTGAAGCCCTTAAAAAAAGAGCTGCAGAAAATGAGCCTCTTACTATTGTTCGCTCTATTGAGCAAGAGAAAGAGATTGAGGAAGCTCCTTTGCACAAAAAGGCGAAGTTGAACCCTCCTCCAGTAGCAAAAACCAAAGGAGTTACTCCTTCAAAAAGTAAGGGTAAGAAAACTGGAGAGGCTGACCCTGAGGAGGAGATGAGGGCTTTTGTCTTGGTCGAGAAAGGTGAGCCTTGGAGGCCTACATTTTATAAGGCGGATAAATTAATCTTTCACTCCAGGGATTCGGTTGTTACAGACCCTTCTGCAGCGCTGGCAGTTGCACAGAGACTATGGCTGTCCAAAGATGAAGAAATTATGGGACGAAGGGATGTCAACTTTGCCAAGCACCCGGGCAAGTTACCGTCCAGTTTGTTATGGGAAAGAACAAGATGTTGAAGAGTCCTCAATTCACAAAGCCTTAAACACCATTAAATTGACGAAATCAGTGTAATTAAATTTCATCTAATATTTAATAGGATAATACTTAGCTACTCACCGGTGAGTAGCTTCACCCTACTCACCCCTCATGTGTTCCAATAACAGCATACCACATCAACTTTAATAAAAATGTTATTTAATGGTTGATCCGAGAAAATACTGGAGAACGTGAGTTATTTGGTTATTGAAGCTGATGTGGTATGTTGTTATTGGAACACATGAGAAGTGAGTAGGGTGAAGTTACTCATTGATGAGTAGCTAAGCATTATCCTAATTAATATAGATGGATATAATAACTTAAATGATCGACCATGCAGTAGAAGTTGATTTTTATGTCTGAGGATGGAATTGAACTTTTATATTGTTTTTACCTGGAACAGGTAAGGTGCCGGTAAGTCTACAATCTTGCAGCGACAATACTTTAAGGGAAGTCATTACTTGAATGCTTGAAAGGAAATCATTATTGAGAACAGCATTATCTAAGAACAAATTTTCCACACTCCTAAGGTTTTGCAAGTCTGTAAACATGGAGCAACAGAATGTAATAAAATATAAGAAGATGCATATATAGGAGTGAAAGTCGACATTGATGAGAGATTTAAATCTATTAATTAAGAGCTTTAAAAAAAAATGCCTACCTCCAATGTGAATTGTTCCATTTAATATGTTCCCTCCTACATATAGAGTCTTGAGTGATGACAGTTCCCATAGAAACGACCAGATGTTATTGTTAAATGCATTATCACTTAAATCAATGACCTCCAGATTGTTCAATCCTGTAACATTCTTAAAACCTGTAAAATTAATAACTCACAACTTGAACCTGAACGTTTGAGGACAACAAAGTCAAAAGTCATCCACGAGGCTTTTAGTCTCTAGCTTACACGATTCTCTATCAAACACAATAAAATGTGTCTGCATGATCACTGGGTTAAAAAAAAAATAAAAAAAAATTATAAATAGAACATGTGAATATGGTAGGTGAATATTCACAATACGGGTGACCTCCAACCTTTCGTTTACCATCTTTAATTTACTGTTTGTACGTTTAATAAAGATGGTAAAAGGATTTAAATGTATTAATTAAGAGCTTTTAAAAAAAAAATGCCTACCTTCAATGAGACTTGCTGCATTTAATATGTTTTCTCTTAGAAATAGAGTCTTGAGTGATGACAGTCCCGCAAAAACGACCAGATATTATTGTTGAATGCATTATAACTCAAATCAAGGATCTCCAGATTGTTCAATCTTGAAGTACTTTTAAAACCTGTAAAACTACCAACTCACAATATGACCCAATCTAAAAAACAAAGAAAAAAAAAAAAAAAGCGACTCATAACATGTGTGTGCATGATCATTGGGTTAAAAAAATTATTGTGTCTTCATCTTAAGCCTTTTAGGATCATCATGCCAATACCTTACACGTTTCTCTATCAAACACAGTGTGTGTGCATGCATGATCCTTGGGTTAAAAAAAATAAAAATAAAAATAAATTATAACTTAAATATAAAATTCTGCTTAAAAATGTCAATTATGGTAGGTGAATATTTACAATAAGGGTGGTCTCCAACGTTTCGTTTTTCATCTTTAATTATAATAATTTATTTTCTCTTTCATCTTTCATATTCATATTTAATTCACTGATGGTACGTTTTAGTAAATAATTTTTTTTGAAATGACTAGATTTGAATTTGAATAAAAAAAAATTATCACAAAGAGTAGCCAAAGTGGTATGCTCCTCTGAAATTGAAAGATTAAAGTCTCAAGTTATGGTACAGATGTGAGAGGGATTTACCTATCGAAAAAAAGAAAGAAATTGAATTAAAAAAAATTGACTATTGAGGTTGGTTTTAGGAGCCCAAGGGAATATTCAACTAGTTTGCGTACTAAAATCCTTCTTGTCATGTGTTGTAAATGACAAAAAAAACTCCTTCCACCGTAATTATTAATTATTTAAAATTGATGCATGCATGCATGCATAATGTTTCAATCAAAATGATTAGATACAAATTTAAATCATGCATGCTTCTTAAGTTTATCCAATGCAATTCATGTCAAATATTCCTTTAATCCAAATGGAGTCTTATTTTTCAACATTGATTGTGTTAAAATATACATGCGCCAACCTAACTCTTTTTGCTACAATGAAGAGAAACTAACACTTTTTGTGTTTTTTTTTCATTTTGAAGAAAGGTTAGCTAATTACGTTGCTAAGTAGTATCTGTCTCCTACAGTGGATAATCGATATTGAGGTTTTTAAGAGTACCATTGAATATATGATTAATTGACATAAGACGTTAAAACTATGTTTTCTTCTTGGTAAATACCTTGGTTGGATATGATATTATTGATATTGTTTCCAGCAATATTCAGCTCTTCTAAGTTGTTCAAACCATCCAAATCTAGTAGGAAATGAAAAATTAGGAAAAAAAAATAGTAATAATTAGCTATAATACATTGCTCACTATATATTAACTAAATTAACATGAGGATAATATTATAAACATGAGCATTTATGTTTTGTCTTGGATCTAGAACTGAGCTTTGAATGGTGAGAGGTTACAATATTACAGTCACCTTGGATATAAATTGTCCCATTCAAGCTGTTTCTACTTAGATTTAGAGTCTTGAGTGATGAAAGTCTGTTTAGAGGCGTTGAAATGGTATTATTGAAATAATTGGCCGTTAGATCAAATTGAAACGGCAGTGGACTAAAATGGCAGTGGACTGAAACGACACTACTAAACTATGACAAGGCTGACGACGAACTAAACTCCTGTGACATCGTCGGATTCGTAATCGGATTCCAACCAGAAACTAGCTCGGATCCGTGGCTGACATTCCGACAATCTCTTCCACTCTCGGTGAATCTCCGTCATCGATTGCTTTGGTGGTGGAAAATAATTGAAGCCGATGGAAAAAAAAAAAGAAAAGAACATAAACTAAATTTTATGAGTCGGTTTTTGTCGGTTGTTTTCTAGTCGGACAGAATAGCAACACTCTTCTGAAAAATATATGTATAGATATATAAAAAAAAATATATATATATATATAGAGAGAGAGAGAAGAAAATAAATGGAGGTGTTCATTCTGAGATACATAAATTATCGTCTTTGATTATATTTATAAAAATAAAATTAGAAAATCAGAGATTCAAAAATATTCAAAGGCTAGTAAAATGGGGAGCCCCCTAGCTATCTCTACAGAAGCGGTAAACTTAATAGAGATGGAGAAAAAAATCATTAATCCATCTACTTTAATCATTTGAGGAGACTTGACTTGGATTCATCCAAAATTTGTTGATATTACAGTTTCTCCATTGGACTGAAACTATGATGCAGATTAGGTTTCTGAGATAATCTGAAATAACAATCTTAAAAAAAAAAGAAGAAGAAGAAGAAGAAGAGTAGAATATCCACAAGAAAAATTGGAGTAATGCAACTCCAGACCTAATCAAATAAAGACCTGAGTATTCAATTGGGTCTACAAAAGTAATAGAAACTCTAATCCAACTTGAATAAACGAAGGAAAAAAGATAGAATACGAAAATGATGGAACATAAAGTGAAATTGAATTATTTGATAAGATACACTTGCACCAAAATGATGGGAAATTGAATTATTTGGTAAGATACACTTGCACCAAAATGATGGGAGAGTGCAACGTGAAACTCACTCAGCAACCAAAAGCAGAAATATAATTATCGGGCCACTTACCCCTGAAAAACTGCAGCTTCCCTCCAGTTTCTTTCCCACTTTCCTTCAGTTTCTTTTCACCCAAACATGCACTCAAAAAGGAAAAGAAAAGAGGATCAATCTCCAAAGCTATTAAATGTATCTGTGTCTCTGATACGAATATTAATTCTTATCATTTTCATATATTGAAATCAAATACTGACAGTTCACGTGAAGATGGAGGGGTTAGTACTGCAATTTGGCAAAAAAAAATAATAATAATAGTAATAATAATAATAGTAATAATAATATTATTATTTTTAAAAAAATTAATGAAACATAAAGGAAACTGGATTAATTGTTAAGATATTCTTGACTCGGGATAGCCAATTCATGATTTCTTTTTTTTCCTTTCACGATATTCAATGCATTTAATCCATTGTTGAAATTTGGGAAGTTTTTTTTTTAAAGCTTATTTTGGTTAAGATATTTTTTTAAAGCTTATTTTGGTTAAGATATTTCTCGACAAGTTTAAAGAAATTATGAAATTGTTTCCTTATTACTTAAAAGATACCACTTTGAAATAAGAAATCGGCCTCTCCACCTATGGATGGAAGCTTGCATGTATGTAACAATTCCCAAATCTTACAATGACAAAAGCTTTATAAATATGATTTTTTTTTTCTTCTTTTTTTTTTCCTTCTAAAAATCATATTTTTGGGAAAAAAAAACTAAAAAAAAAAAGGAGACAATATTATTAAACAGTTTTTGTAGGTACTTAAAAACTGTTGTCATCAATAGTTGTTAAAATCTTATTCAAACTGAATGTGATTCCTTTCTTAAGTAAAGATTACTCAGATTTGATAACTTATATAAGCAAGAAATTTCAATAAAAATTTAGAAGACTTGTTGACAGTAAATGAATATTAGAAGTGACTGGTAATTAGAATTGATGAACAACATTCCACTCCAGCCACTAGTGCCAATTGCTTCATATCAGTCTCATAAACTTTATCAAATTGGAATGACTACAACTCAAGCTGAGATTTCATATTGCTCAATATTTTTAAAATGGATTTTCGGTTTTGTATCCCAATTAAAACTTACAAAACAACATATATATAACTTTAACCAATTCAAAGATCGAACATCATCACTGATGACTCAGACATGAGAAAGAATTGGGGGCAGATTTGTATGTGCGAAAGATTTCTTATATTTCAAATATTGGTATTTTTCATAGTTATGCATTCGGTGTTAGTGGAGCAAAATAATTATTAATCATTTGATACAAAACCCAAACAATAAAATCAAACGTAGTGTAAACACTACAAGAAAAGAGGACTTTTACGACATAGTATTTACGGGGCTTATTTATTTTGCCTCGTGATTACCACTATTTACGGAGTTTTTAAAAGAATCATCGTAATTGTTACGTTATAGGACATGCTTTCACGAGAATTTTATAGAATCGTCGTAGAAAAATATTTTTACGGCGTATTAAAAAGCCCGTGAATATTTAGATATATTTACGGCATATTTGTACACCTTTAACGGGATAAATGTTCCTCGTGGATAAATTTCACATCTAAGGCGTCTTTTTTGCCCCATGGATAAATTTCATATCTACCGCGCCTTTTTTGCCCCGTAAATAAGCAATACAATAAGTTCTTTTAAGGCGCCTTTTTTGTCCCGTAGATAAATTTCACATCTAAGGCGCCTTTTTTGTCCCGTGGATAAATTTAACATCTAAGGCGCCTTTTTTGCCCCGTGGATAAATTTCACGGTGCCTTTTTTGCCTCGTAAATAAGCAATACAATAAGTTCTTTTAAGGTGCCTTTTTTGTCTCGTGAATAAATTTCACATCTAAGGTACCTTTTTTGCCCTGTGAATAAATTTCACATCTAAGGCGCCTTTTTTGCCCCGTGAATAAATTTCACATCTACGACGCCTTTTTTGCCGCGTAAATAAGCAATACAATAAGTTCTTTTAAGGCGCCTTTTTTGTCCCGTGGATAAATTTCACATCTAAAGTGCCTTTTTTGCCCCGTGGATAAATTTCACATCTAAGGCGCCTTTTTTGCCCCGTAAATAAGCCCCACTGCATTTTTTTTGGCACAGTACGCCCCCACCACATCCCCAATACCTAAAAAAATGGACAGCGGAAAAATTTTGCGCCCAAAAATTTTTTGCCCATGATTATTTTATTTTGCAAAAACTATAAAGTGGTATTAAACTACATCATTTTATGTAAAAAAAATAATAAACCTAGCATTGTAAATCATTCTCTTCATCAATTGATCTAAAAAAATAAAGTGGTATTATTTTTTTGTTCTTTTTCTATATCTTTTTTTAATAGGGTTTTGGGGAGATGTATTTAATTTCTTGAATATGAGTTGGTCAAAAGAAACATGACTAGCCTTGTAGGACTTTTCATGCTTTGAAATTTATGACACTAGTAGTTGCAGAACTACCTTATTTATTGATGTTGTTGTGTTTTTATGCATCTAAGAATAAAAATGACAACAAACTGAGGTTATGATAAATTTCGTTAAATTAGTAAATTTATGACACTAGTAGTTGTAGAACCGCCTTATTTATTGATGTTGTTGTGTTTCATTCCTTTTCCCTTCTACTTGTTCCCTGGCCATTTAGAATGCGTCTTACAAATTTGTTCAATTTGTTCAAATGATTCACTCATAATTAATAGGAGAACTTCTGTTCAAATTTGCTCATTCCTTTGCTCCAGCCATTTAGTTATGATGATATTAAGAGAATAAATCCTAGTAGAAAGAACCAAAAGTCTGGTAAGAGTAATCTATTCACATAATAAAAGTTAATTTGTGGTAGAGTTTTAGAAAAATTATTTTATTTTATATATCAATTAATAAATATTTTTTAAAATTAATAATTCTTCTCTAATTAGATTTTCTTTTATTAAAAAAATCATAATAATAAATAGATAAATATGTTAATTTAAATTTTATTATGTAGATTTTAGTATTTTGTAGAGTTTTTTATTTTTATTTAAAAAAACTCTTTTCATATCAATTAATAAATATTTTTTTATATAAATAAATACCGAAACTCTTTGCATATATTAAAGAAAATCAAATTATACGAGTATTATTAATATAAAAAAATATTTATTAATTGATATAAAAAATAAATTTTAAAAAAATTTCTATAAAACTTTTACACAATTTACCTATTTGTCTATTTATTATAAGTTTTTTTTAATAAAAGTAAATTTAATTAGACAAGAATTATTAATATAAAAAATATTTATTAATTGATTTAAAAAGAGTTTCTATATAAAATTTTAACACAAATTATCTATTTATTTATTTATTATGAGTTTTTAATTAAGAAATCTAATTAGACAAGAATTATTAATATAAAAATAATTTATTAATTAATATAAAAAATGAAATAATTTTTCTAAAACTGAACCACAAACTATCTTTTATTTTGAGTTTTTTTTTAACAAAAGGTAATCTAATTAGACAAAAATTATTAATATAAAAAAATATTTATTCAGTACAAGAAAAATAGTTTTTTACCACGTATTTTTTTGCCACGGTTTTAAAATAATCTTTGACACGGTTTTAAAATAATCGTAATAAAAAATATACTATTATTTTAAACTGTGATAGAAAAGTTTTTTACCACTATTAATGAAAAATGTAACTGAAATCATGGTAAAAAGTGAAATATTTTCACTTATCATTTGGCGGGCCGTGAAATTTTCACTTATCATTTGGCGGGTCTTATTCCCGCTGGTGCAATAAAGTCACTTCTCTTTCTGAAAAAACCCTAGCCTCTCTCTCTATCTCTATCTCTATCTCTCTGTGTCTCACGCCGAGGCACCACCACCATCAACCCACATCCTCACACCATCACCAAGCCCTCGCTCTCTGTTCAAACCCCACTGCCGCAAGCTTCTCCAGCCGAACCTCTTGGCCGCCACTGCTGCTCTCTCCTCTCTTCTCGGTCTCGCTTTCTCTGGCCGATTCTCGGTCAAGGAGAAACCACATCTCGCCACCGGCCACCACATTTCCAGTTCCGGTCGTCTTCTCCAGCCAAAAATTTCAGGCCGAGTCTCTCTCTCTCGTTTTTCTCATTTTTCTCTCGGGTAAGCTCTCTTCAACCTGAAATTTGACTTTTGAACTCTGATTTTGGAATGGGAATTTAGAATTTCCTACATATATCTGTGGTTGTGTTTATTAGGGCTGTGAATGTATAAGTCTGTGATGTGAAAAAGGAGGAAGTGCTATGGTAATGGAGAATGGACTAAAAAAAAAATTCTGTGAAGGGCTTGTCCCTGATTTTTGAAATTGAGGTTGACGATGAATTGAATTGAATTGCAACTTCTTGGGCCTTTAAATTTCAGATTATATATATATGGCCTTGTGTGGTATCAAAAATTCTGGACTGTACTTGAATTCATAAAAACTGTGAGATGATTTTGATATAAATTCATCTCTGTGACTATGCTTTTGAACTGAAATGGGGCTGTGAAATTTAAACTGAAATGATGTATATATCTTGTTGCCATGTTGAAAATTCTATGAAGCTTGAGACTATGTTTTGATATATACCCATACATTGTTTTCTTTTGTTTGAACTTAAAAATATTTATAGCTATCTTTCTCAATGGAACTTTTATTAATTTATATGTATTGTTGAATCTCAGCCCTCCTGACATCACTTTGTGAAAACTAGAATGGTGCACCAATTAGAATTGGCGGCATTTCTTGAAAACAAAAAAAGCTATGCCATCACCATCTATATCCCCATGTTTGTGTAGATTTTTCTAGTTATTTTTTTTTAATCCTTTAGGCCCTTGAACATAACACAGATTCTCCATTTTCAGAACTAATGATCAGTAGGTTCCTTTTTCTCTTAATACTTCACATAATGGGATTTCACTGGCCTGAGATAGGTTTTGTTGTACAAGTCCTATGAGGCATTTTTTTAAGGCGTGACTGGGTTTGTTGGATCCAAAGAAGTCCCATGGTAGTCAAGGCTCTGCTACAGTATCTTATTCCATGATAGGTGAAGCCCTATAATAGGCACTCACAAAGGCATTAGGTCTTCTGTAGTAGGCTTCAAGATTAAGAAAGCTCGAATTAATTTTTTTAGTCACTTATTCATATATCTTCTTTATTTTCAAATGCCCATTTATTAATATGATATTCAGCTTGGAATTCTTGGGCTTATGTTTGACTACTTGAATTACATTTGTTTAGGGCTTGATTCTGTTATTTTTTATAATTTAATACATGTTTGCACTTTGCAGCCTTCTGTTACTATACATTTCCATTTTTTATTGGTGCACTTGCAAATTTTATTTATGCCAAATTGCATCTTTGTCAGAAGCTTTTTTCTACTTGCTTTTAATTCTTCTTTTTCATCTGTTCCCCTTCTCTCTTGATCCTAAAAGTTGATGGAAAGTTTTTAATTTGCATAGCAGTTTTTATGGTCGTTTATTTGATTTTTATATGGAATTTTAGGAAAATTTTATTTTTAAGCCAGTAGCTGGTGCACTACCAACTGCCACCTAGGAAGCACCTATACTTCTACAAGAGTGACGTACCCATGTTGTGTCGGACACCAATATTTCTCAGATACTCATGGATGAGTGTTCGATTCCTATACGTATTATAATTTTGAAATATATTTTAAAATTTCAACCACGTACCAATACTTCTCAGATACATATTTAGCAAGTTTTGAGAATTAGAATGTAACTTTTTAAAGAATAATATCATAGTATAATTGTTAAGAAAAGTTTAACATTTATTCGAAAATAGAACTTAATTTATCCATACAATATAACTCTCAACTCTTGTTTTGTTTGTTAATCATAATATTTTATAAATAAATGTTAACAACAATACTTGTGAAAAAAAAAAAAGAAAAGATATGCTAATAACAATAACAGATGATGTGAACAATGAAACATCATTTCATGACGACAAATTCCTTTCAAAGAATGAGCAACCCAGAGAATTCTTCTTATCCAGCGATGCTAATGCTGTAGTTGAACACACAAAAAAGGTTTTGGTAATTTAGGATGGTGAAGTTGTTCATCTTAAGGTATTTGTGTTTGCTTCCCTTTTCTTTTTTCTTTATTCTTCGCCTCTTTCTCTCTCTCTCGCTTTGCAATCCACCTTCAAGTTACAAATCCTTCGTCTTGCTGTGTGCCTATGAATAATAGATTTGATATCTTTCATGTTATCTTCTGAGATTGCTGACAGCCACAAGTATTCTTTTACAGCAACTATGAATGATAACTTGGTTGTTTTTTGTGGCTTTTGGTTGTTTGGGTAAAGTCTTGATGAAAGGAAGGACTGGCCTACCAAAGTAGCTTTCTTATAACTTTAAAAAACATAACAAATAAACTAAAATAAGAAGACGACAAAGAATAATTTCAGGAATTTCACCTTAGATTTCTCAGGGCTCATTCCCTAAGGCTGTGTTGCATCCCAAATTACCTAATCTTGGATTTTCTGAAAATTCAGTCCATTGCATAGAAATGTGATACTGCATTACTTGCATCATAGACTTCTTCATTGTTTATATATATTTTTAATTATTTTGCATAAATGGAGGTCGGGGAATTGTTGTAGATGGAGTATGGTTTTCATTGATCGCATTTTAATTTGTTGAATCATAAAATAAAACAGCATATAGACTGAGATAAAATTCAATTTAATCATGCTATAAAGCCAAAATCTCTCTATATATTCACAACCACCACCACCACCACCACCACCACCACCACCTTTGCTTGCTTTTCTTGTCACTTATGCTAAAGAAATGCAGCTTGGCTTTCTTATATGAAGTTAGTAAACCAGAATATCATGTTTATCACTTTTGGAAAAGGAAAACTTGTAATTGAATAAGGCATTAAACAACTTTAAATATGGCTAGGTTTGGTAAGATAAATAACACATTTTCTTGCAACATAAAAATATATAGGTTTTAAATTTATTTTCCGCGATCAAGATTTTTTAAGAAGATAAACATCTTTATGCATTGACTCTTTCCTAATTGGATACTTTGCATAGGTTCATGTGATAAGACCACATAAGATACAAGGAATTTATGCTAGCATCATCCCAGCTATTCATTAAAAGGAAAAAAGAGATTCCAAAATACTTTTGTCATGTAGAGAGCCATAGCAACGAATAATGATATTAATTTCAAAGAAAGAGGGAATTCTCAAAGACCTACTAGTTCATTATTCTTACTCAGACCTATAAAGAGACTACAGAGAAGGGGGTCCCTTTAAGGGAATTCTCAAAGACCTACTCGTTCATTATTTAGTGTGTTCAGTTCTCTTTGTGACCCCAACAAGGTTTATGACTTCGTCTTGGAACTAAAAAAGAGGTTTGGGGGTGAATTAGGAGGATTGCTTCACCTCAAGATGCAAATTAGATACTGCTGTATGTGTTCTTGTTTATGTAGTCTTTTGTGTTCTTAGGATGGTGCACTATTTGGTTAAAATAAAGAGTATACTTAAGTTGTGTACTTGGGATAATTCCTGTTAAAGAATTTGGAAAAGTCACAGATCTTTATGCAGCTCTTGTAATTTTCATTTTTATTCAGAAAAAAGTGCTAGCTGTTGTAGAAAAAAGGGAAATAAATAAACTTTGGCGTGCTTGCTTGGTTTCAGATGAAGTTTACATTATAACGAGTTAAAAAATGGTCTAATAACTACAATGATTCCTCTTAATAAAAATCAGTTTTAAAAGACAGATTAGGGAAGTGAGATATATATATAACAAAATAAAAAGAGGGCTATAAATTCATTTTATTAAGAGGCGAGTACCCTAGTGGATAAATAAAAATGATTTTGAAGTGAGAGCGTGTGCATATATCAACGTATATATATGTACACACATAATATATAGTAATAAGTTTTGGGTTTGATATGATTAATTAAAATGGTTAATTGGCAGGGGAAGGAGGCACTGGTGGATCACTTTGAGAAGTCAACGTTTCGGTGTGATACGAATGAGTTCCTGCTTGTGTGTTTCAACCCAGCAAGAGATGGTTCTGGTAAGTGGGTGAAACAAAATTTGGTTGGGAAGCATATATATATATATATATATATATATATATATATATTAATTAATTAAGGGTTTAGTTTAGGGTACCATATTATTGGAGTATTTGGAGCAAGCGCCGCAAATAAACACTATAATAGTTCCTATGTGGTTTGTTTAATGACTTCTAAGTATTAATTCATCTTTTCTATTCCCACATCATCTTTATTACTAATTTGATGAGCTTTTCATTTTTTTTTGGTAAAAAAAATTTAGGTGAAGGTTTGATATCTAGGGTTACATTGGCTGCCAAGTTTATCAACCCTGCTATTCGAGTTTTGGCTGCTGAATCAATGGGAGCACCTACTTGCTTGGATTTTGTACTGTGGAAAATGAGGTGGTGTTTTTGAAAAGTGTAGATTGAAACTTAATTGTTAGGAAATTGATTATTTATTTATTTTTTTTTGCAAATGAATTTACTTCCTATTTTGGCACATTGATCAATCATGAATTCTTGAATTGTAAAAATATTTTAAGTCTTTTAATATGTTTAATGTGGTATTTCAAGATATTTTTTTGGTTATGGTTATTGACATTAACATATAGAATTGAAACTATGAATGTGTTGATATATTTTTGAATTAAATGATAATTGAAAATTGATGCCAATTGCAGGTTGTGTGAATGATTAGGTAGTATTTAAGGGTAATGTTATAGTTATATATATATATATATATATTTAATTGATACCCATTGCAGGTTGTGTGAATGATTAGGTAGCATTTAAGGGTAATATTTTATAATTTTTTTTTTAAAAAAATTATGTTATCTACGGGGAGCTTGAAACCCCCGTAAATATTATTTACGGGTAGTTACAATTCTCCGTAGAAAACATTTCTACGGCAGTTATATTTTGCCGTGGAAAAGTTTTCTACGGCAGTTACAATTCGTAGTGGAAAATGTTTCTACGGCAGTTACAATTCGCCATAGAAAACGTTTCTACGACAGTTATATTTCCCCGTAGAAAAGTTTTCTACGGCAGTTATATTTTGCCGTAAAAAATTTTTCTACGGTAGTTACAATTCGCCGTAGAAAACGTTTCTACGGCAGTTATATTTCGCCGTATAAAAAATTGAGTATTTACGGAACCCTCATACACGAGGGCCTAGAATGCGCCGTGAATACGTTTCTACGGCGTTTTTGGCCCCTCGTAGAAGCCCTTTTTTCTTGTAGTGAAATTTAAAGTAATAACAATATAGGCTGCGGAAGAAGTAGAAAATTTCAATTACTAAACATCAAATTTATTTTATAATAAACCAATATTCATGATTGGTAATAACTAAAAGATGTTATTTAGTAATTTGAAACAGCACTGAAAAGAAAAGAAACAAAAAGGGTTCCATAAATTTAACCACTTTGAGACACACATGTCTAGCTATTTTCCAAGAGAAAATAGTTTCCGAAAACTGTCCACAACAAAGTAGTAACAAGAGGTGACGGAGACCTCAACTAGCTGAATCTCCAGTAGGGATTGATGTAAAAAACAGCTGCAATCCCCAAGAACATAATTATGTAGGACGATGTAAAACTCACATAGAAAGAATCCATGTCCATAAAGGCATTGTCCCCTTCACTGCTATTCATGATTCTGGGAGTTGATGGAGATAGCTCAACAGCGGCGGTGCAATTTCTTGAAAGTGGTGGTCCACAAAGGAGTGGATTTCCGATGTAGCTACTATTATCAAATGTATCAAATTGGACAGAACTTTGGCTCTGAGGTATATTGCCGGACAGGTTATTGTACGATACATTGAACTTGGCCAGAGAGTATAACTCAGTAAGCTGTGAAGGAATTTTCCCATTCAAGTTGTTGAAGGAGAGGTCTAAGCTCTCTATATTCTGGAGGTATGAAAATGATGTCGGGATCATTCCGCTTAGACCATTGTGAGACAGGTTTAGCACTCTGATTTCACCTATATTCCCAAGTTCATTTCGGATGTAGCCAGTAAAATTGTTGCACGAGAGGTCGATTCCTGAGAAGAGGTCAAGATTGATTCCCTGATACAAGCGGGAACTTCCTTTTGTTGTGAACTCTACTTGTGATTTTTCGAGGATAATATCATGATAATCACCGATATACATGTTTCCCCACCTTTTTGACATCACTTTTAGATCATCACCCAAGAATGATGTGAAATGTAAACATGGAATGGATACAGCAATTGCTCCCAGAAAAGATTTACTGCTAAGTAGTCCCTGGAAAGTGATGCTACTTAAGCAAGGAGGAATGTGGCCGGAAAAGTTATTCAAAGAAAGATCAATCATGCTCAACTGAGACAAACTGCATAAACGGAGTGGGATGTGGCCTTCAAAAGTATTGTTTCTCAACAGAAGGATGCTCGACTAGAAAGGGTTCCGATCCAATTGGGAATGGGGCCAGTTAAGTAGTTATGGCTGAGATCTAAGGTGACTAATGAACCGCAGTTATAAAATGCAGTGGCTAATGGTCCATGTAGTCTATTTTTTGACAGAAGAACTTGTCTTACATATGGTGGGTTGAAGCAAGAAGGTATGGTTCCAGTAATATTGTTCTGAGAGAGGTCAAAAAGCTCAAGACTAACACGTAGACAAAATTCAATTGGAATGGAACCAGACAAATGATTATTGGACATACCAAACTCAATAATCCATGTGTTCCCCATCCACCCAGGAATCTCACCAGACAAATGATTGCGACTGATATTCAATGTGAACAAGAAAAAAGAGTTCAATAAGCTGTCTGGGATCTTTGTAAAGTTATTTTGGTCCAGATACAAATAATTCTGAGGTTACTGTAGGTTGGTAATGCTGGACCTTGCAAGTTGTTGTTGGATAGTTTCAGTAAACTCAAGCGATAGGAACCCATAGCCAATTCTCCAGGTATTTCGCCAGACAAATTATTATTCGATAAGTGTAGATACTCTAAAGACGACAAATCACCTAATGAAGAAGGAATACCACCGTCAAAGCCATTAGCAGGCATGTTTAAAAATTTCAGACTTGGAAAAATGGTAGCAATGTGGCTCGTAATTTGGCCAGAGAAGTCATTGTTGGAGATATCAAATGCCAAAAGCTCAGGATGTGAATGTGATGATAAAGACAGGTCCAGTGAATGAATTATTTGGCAGAAGAAGTGTAACCAGTCTTGTGTTGTTATCCAACAACCAATTCGGAAACTTTCCACTGAAGTTTAATCGAGAAAGTTCAACAATTTGGAGGTCCTTTTGGTAGTAGAGGAAGTTGGGAAAGGCTCCAGTAGTGCTGCTATTGGCATTGCCAACTTCACGATCAGATAAACGAAAACGGATCAGTTGGAAACTCGGGACCAAATGATCAGTCTGATTGTCGTCTGTTTCTACCAACAATTCGTTGTTCATGCTTTCAATGAACTTGAGTTTTGTATGGTTGAAAAATGATGTAAATGAGACTGGGACTTGAAAGGGGTTGTCTGAAAGCACAAGGTATTCCAGTGATTTCAGTTTTACAAGTGGAGACAAGGCGATATTCCCAGTGAAGCCATTGGAAGAGAGATCCAAAATCTGAAGCGATGTCAAATTTTCCATGCATTGAGGCAACTCACCCTCTATTTTATTATCATGGAGGGCAAGCTCCTGAAGATTCTTCAGTTCACACAATCCTAAACAAGATTAAATTGATTGATTGGAATTAACTTAATTGGCAGAATATATTAAAATTTTCATCTAGCAGCATAAAAGAATATATATATATATATATATATATATATATATATATATAATTTTTATAATTCTATCATATAATTTTTATAATTCTATCTTTACCTGGAACAGGTAAGCTGCCGGTGAGTCCACAATGTTGTAGTGACAATACTTTAAGAGAAGTCATCACTATAGTAATGCTTGGAAGGAAGTCATTGTTGAGAGTAGCATCATCCAAGAACAAGTTTTCCATATTTCTAAGGTTTTGAGAGTCTGAAAAATTAATAACCATGGAGTATATATTAGAAGATGCATCATGCATGGGAGTGAAAGAAATTTAAATTTATAAAATTTTAAGTTAAGTAAGGAAAATGTTTGATGTGAATGCAAATTCTATAGTAATTAAATAAATAGGCTTACCTTTACTGTGAATTGTTACATTCCATTTCATTCCTCTCATATATAGTGTCTTCAGTGATGGAAGTCCTTGCACAAATGGCCATATGTCATTGTTCAAGAGATTTGAACTCAAATCAAGGAACTCTAAGTTGTTCAAACTTGGAGATCTCGCTAAACCTGTAAAATATTAAATGGTAATGGAAGTTAGAATTCTGAAATCCTTCATAGGAAATATTATATAAATATATATGTGTGTGTGTGTGTGTGTGTGTGTATTTCATATTCCTTTCTTCTTATTTGGGTGACAAGTACTAGCTACCGGCTAAGATCAAATATAAATATTATTGTGAAGGTGATCATATGAAGTAGCTTTTGTCTTGATATTTCAATTTCCATACAACTATATATTTTTCATTCAAGAGCCTACATGGAATATATATATATTAATAAAAGTTTTAGTATTTTTTTTCTTCTTTTGCGGTGAGTAATCCAGTGTTTTCTTCTTCATACCTTCTTTGGTCACAATACAACTGAGATAGTTCAAACTTATGTCCAGCTCCTTCAAGTTGTTCAAACCATCAAAGTCTAAACAAGACATGAAAAATTAAATAATTAATTAAAGCGCAGTATATACAATAAATTGATCACCAAGGAAATATGAAGTGAGTTTCCCCTTACCATTAAATTTGAAAATAAATTAATTTACAAAATTAAAATTCACCTTGAATATAAATTTGCCCAGTCAAGTTGTTTGCTCGTAGTTTTAGAGTCTTGAGAGATGAAAGTCCATTTAGAGATGATAATATGCTGTTATTGAAACGATTCTCACTCAGATCAAGGATACGTAGATTGCTCAATCTTGATAGTTTTTCAAAACCTGCCAGAGAATAAAATGTAATTTGAAATCTTAGCAATAACACACAACTTTGTTTTAAAAAAGCGAATAAAAAATAAAAGGAAAAGGAATAGACAATCCTTATATGCAATCCTTCACATGAATAGATAGATGATGAATACAGAAGTTAAGCAAACCTTCATTCTTAACACTTCCCTGCATATAATTATTAGTTAAGTCTAGGCTTACGATTGATTCAAAGAGAAGAAATATTGAGGCGTTTAAATACCACGCATCTTCTCGTGTAGAATTAAGTGAGAGTTTGATGACACGACGTGTGATGACATTGTTGGGAAACGTGCAAGTTTTAAAAACTTTTCGAGGGACTTTGATTCATAGATCTTGATTCATCACATAGAGACAAGTTTTACGCAAAAATAAAAATATGATGTATCATTCAATTAACAGATTGAATACTTACATCAAAGGTCTGAGTAAACCTTTAAAACTTTCCTCTAAAGTGAATGCTCTCACTTATTGTAGATCCCTTAGCAAGATGCATTCTCCTTGGATCTCCATCTTCTTGGTAATTGTTTTGCCTTTAGGAATCACTCATATGCCTCCATGAATGACCTTGGAAAACTAGGCTTGTGGGAGCCTCCATTAGATGAGAACATAAACCCTAATTTTCTAGAGAGAGAAAATATATTCCTTTTTCCTTCTACTAAAAATCACCCCTAAAATATACATAGACCATGTATATTTATAGGCAACATAAAAATAAAGAAAAGGAAATAACAAATCCTTCTCCATCTCTAATTCATATGTCTCAAATCTAATATGATTCCAATATCAAGTTGGGCTATGAGTGAGAATCCATTGGGCCTATTATTTTATTGGCTACAATGAATTAATAATTGGCCCGGACCATGGACCCAATTCAATTAATTCATAAATTAATTTCTACTCCACTAAAAGAAATTAATTGAACTTCAATTAAATAATAAATAACCTCTAAGTCAATATTGCACTTTGACCCCTCTATGCATAATTAGTTATCGGATAAATAAAGCCATCAATCCGACTACTTAATTAATATATCTATTTTGATACCTCTGATTATTTCTGGCTCGATCACAATAAAACATTTGTTTGACAAAAATAATAATTTAAATAAATAAATATATAATAAATCATTTTGTCTAAAAACACACGAAGGCCTTCGAATTTACTTTGTGATCAACCATAATCAATACAAAATAAATACAAGTAGCAATGATGCAAATATTGAAAATATAACCCTCTAACTATTAATTACATAATTACCCAAAGTGTCGGTCTAAGGATCCCGAAGAATCCGCCGAATAAATCAAAGTAATTATTAATTAATAAAAGAGTCTATAATTTTCTTATACTTAAGAGTCAAATGCCATGACGGTGATAGGGGAGCAATTGCATACGACGGCTCTCGCAATATATCTCAACCTAACGTGAATCCAGTTCAAATATTAATTAATTATGAATCCATCTATAATTACCGACTATGAACCATTTATGATTACTATTTATATATCATGCATTGATTGCCATCACAAACATATATATAAATATCTCTTGTAATCAAATGGACACTATCAATTCTATAATGAATCGAAATATAATACATTGAATTCACCAATTGTATAAAATATAAATATTTCATAAACGTCAGGAACATATGTCACTTTAATCCAAACAGGAATTTGCTATGCCAGGGCATATAAATCCCAACAGCTCCCACTTGCCCTCATAGCCAATTCAAATTGCACCTAACTCCAATGTTATCCAGATGATGATCAAAATTATTGATCAATAACACTTTTGATAATGGATCAACAAAGTTGTGTTCCAATGCAATGTTCTAGCTACAAGTACATTTTCTTCATAGCCAATTCAAATTGCATCTAACTCCAATGTTATCCTGGTGTTGATCAAAACTATTGATCGACGACACCTTTGTTAATGGATCAACAAAGTTGTGTTCCAATGCAATGTTCTAGCCACAAGTACATTTTTTTGCCGGACAATATCATGTAGAACATGATACTTCCTATTAGTGTATTTTGTTCATCTATGGAACCTTGGGTCATTGGTTTGGACTATTTCTGCACTATTGTCACAACATAGCTCAATAGGCAGGCTAGTATACTCCACAACCTCTAAATCAGTGAGATCAAACTAATAGGCTTCCTTTGCCGCCTTTAAGGCTGCAATATATTCCACCTACAGGTTTGAGTCAGCAGTTGAAATCTGCTTAACAATCTACCAACTGATCTCCCATCCATTAAGTGAACATACACTAAGTCATGAACCTCATAGTATCTACTTCTGATTGAAAATCAGAACTAGCATACCTGACTAGGACCATATTATCACATCCATAAATGAATATGATATCATTGGTTCTCCTTAGGTACTTAATGATATTTTTCACAATAAACCAGTTGTCAAGTCCAGTATTGGACTGATCTCTACTGACTATCCCTACTATGTAGCGGATGTCCTGTTTGGTATAGACCATGGCATATATGAGATTCTCATATGCCAAAACATATTGTTCCAGTCTCATTTGCTCAATCTCCTTTGATAGTCTTGAAAAATTACTTATTAGAGAGAGTCATCCATATCAATAAAGCAAGAACTCATTCTTTGAGTTATGCATACCAAACCTGGTCAAAACTTTATCAATGTAGGATTATTAAGATAAGCCTATTTTCCTTTTAACCTGATCTTGCAAAAGCTTGATCCTAGGAATCTAGCTTACATCCTGAAAATCCTTCATTTAAAAGTAATTGAACAACTACCTCTTTATTGATGACAAAACTTCCACATCATTCTAAATGAGTAGGATGTCATCAATATATATAGAATTAGAAAAATAATGACATTCCCTTGTACACTCATGATTTATTCACTAAGAAATCTTCTGGTATCTTTTTGTAGATTAACTTGCCTTCCATAGGAATCACCCTACTAGAAAGTTCTACAAGATCCCAGAATTTATTAGAATACATAGATTCCAACTCTGATTTCATAGTAACTCACCAAAACGATCTGTATCCACATCGGTTCACGCTTCCGTGTAGCTTACTGGGTCCAACTCATGTTTAACAGGGATGTCCATAATGGTCTCACCTAAAAACATGATTCTGTCGAATTGGATGATAATCCTCCCACTACATCAATGTACCGATGCAAGAATCTGTGTAGTAGATGATGCTAACGCATCAATAGGGAATTCATATATTATTCTCAATCTCTATAATAAGTGTGTTCACATGTGGTACATCTGGTACTCATACCAAATTCTCTAACATTATGCTACTAGGTATATGATTCTCCTATAGATAAACAGTGAGTGAAAACAATCAACTTTTATTTTTGAGATCATAAAATAATCCATCCTAGTGACATTTAGAGTAGCGATCAAATCTAGCATGCCTATGATCTGCTTCCAACTTACTTGTCCATATCAAGCGCACATGTGCAAGACTACCCCATATGTGCATATGATTCAAACTAATATTTAGTAAAAAACACAGCTCAACGGTATCCTTGAGACAGACTAAGATGGAATGCAGTTCATAATGCGCATCAATGTCATTAACGCTAAACTCTTAAATGAAAGAGATAATGTAGCATAGCTGATCATAGATCTAACCATGTTAAGTGGAATTCTGTTATTCCTATTTGACACCTAAATACATTTAGCGTCAATTGCGGAAAACTGGTACATAATACCCTCATTGACCATATAGTCTTTGCACTATCCCAAGAAATACTCATATCATCGATCAGATCGAAATGTCTTGATAAGTTTACCTAATATGTGTTCCACATCAGTCTTAACCTTCTCAGAAAATACCAAGAGTTTAAGACTTGTGTTGCATCAGATAAACTTATCCAAAACGTGAGTAATCTTGCTTGGATGTTCATAAGACCACACGTGTCAGTGTGTACTGACTCCAATTGTCCTTTATGTCTATTTCATCTGGCTGATTAAGCCCTAAGAGTTATCTATCCTTCAAAACAGGGTTCACAAGTTTGGTTTAGGCTCCCCTGCCTCACTAGGTAATTAACCTTCTTTGACCAATCTTTGAATCTTATTTTGATTGATAACAACCAAAAAATAGACATTAAAAATACAATGAGTCAGGAATAACAAATTTTCTCTTAACATTCAATCTAGAAGATGCAACATTAGTTTCTACATCCTGCAAATCTTAAAAGTTTGTGATTATAGTATATTAATCATCTTTCAATGCACCAGAAGCAATCGCATATCTATTCAATTTTATAAAACCAGTTTTATAAAATAACAACACAGTTTTTATAAACCAAAAGTGAAATAAGAATGAGATTGCGTTTCACTTCTGTGCATAAAGATAGTTCTCTAATACTAATATCCTCATACTCTCTAATTTCAGATGTAATACTCCCACTGACTTAACTACAACCTTGGCATCAGGTTAAAAGATAAATATATATCCATATCATCAAGGCTTCTGGATTCCTGAAATCCTTACAATAAATTGCAAACATGTTTAGTGGCTCCAGAATCTATCCATCAGGAATTAATAGACGCAACCACATAACATGACTCAATGATTAAATATATATTTTCCTATGCCACGTCATTGCTTAAACAGTTCGTCCTTTAGTGTTTTAGTTAGCGACAAAAGAAACAGTTTTCTTCGCCCTCAACATACACTGCCTTATTCCCTTTAACCTTTTTGAATACCCATGTTTTGTGCTAGTCTAGTCCTATTATCATCCTTCTTCTTTGCTTTGCCCGTCCACTTGGGCCTAGAAGAAGATGGTATAGACTAGGTTAGATTGATAGGAACGCCCATACTCTTGATTATCCCTTCATCTGTTACCAATTCTATAAGAATATCAGCGAATGTGAACTCAAACTGATTCCTTATTTAGTTTACTCTAACAGAATTGAATGAGTTTAGTAACAAGGTAATAATCATGTCAACTTGAAACTTACCACTCAAGTCAGCCCTTTTGATCTCCAGCTAATTTTTAAATAATAAACAATCATTTTCCAAAATTCGATTTCATACTGGAGTTCCTTAGGCTATCTTGATGCTATTCAAGTCTGATATAGTACTTTGGCATACTCTCTATCTAATCTCACCAAAATATCTTATTGACATCTAACATGATGCTTGAAGAAAATAAAATAATGTAAATGTTAGCTTTGGAGCGTATTCGAGGTAAACTCTAGAATATTGCACCAATTTATCTTATTTGCCTTATTTCACTTATTCAAAGCATTAATGTTCTCTTGGGTATTTTAAAGTAAAATGATTATGTTTTAGGAGTAGTAAATACATTTGTACCACCACGTTGTGAATAAAATATCTAAATTCCTTTTCTAGTCATTATAAATGAGGTCCAATATCATAGAATATGTAAGCAAGTAGATAAATGGATTAGACATAATTCATCTGAATATAAATGCATTCATACGATATGCAAGGTGAATTATTAATACTATCATGCATATTTAAAATTAAAATGAGTTTGTTAACCACATAATATAATAAATCTCAATCGAACAAGAGATCATTATCATTATTGGTGAACAATCCCTTTTAATTAATGCGGGTCCCTCAACTCTGTAGCATAATAAATCAACCAATCAATATGTCAATAACTTATCCTGTTAGAGGAGTTCATTATTACTATTGTTGAGATTCATTTACTATTAGGCGAGTACTTCCATTAAAATAGTATGTGGGTCCCTTAACCACTGCATGAAAAATCGGATAACCAATACACCAATAACTTATTCGGTTGGCGAAGTTCATTATTGCTATTAGCGGGCAAATCCCATCATCTCCATATCTCTTAAGACAATGCCTTGTCTATCTATATGAAATGATTCCCGATTATGTTTAGCCTTTCTAAAATTACCTAGTGTAGACCACTCCGTTGGGGAGCTAACACTATTGATTTTAGATTGAGTATATAACGTTATTAATGCTCTAATGAAAAATAAAATATTAAATATCTTGTCATTATAATCTAGACTCTTTAAATCATGCGTAGGGCCTTATTTTTAAAGATCTAATTACAATGAATATTTAATATTATTATTTTCATGAGACAACCATTCTTGTAATATTAAGACTCTTCAAATCATGCGTGGGGCCTTATTTTTGAAGATCTAATTACAATGGTTTTAATAACGAAGGCCATGGGGTAATGTATAAAAATCCCCGCTCCCACTTAATTTTTTAATCATTCATAATTAGGGTTTTGAATTTATTCATTTACATGATATAATGTATGCAAAACGTCTTGATTTTAATCCAATTAAATTTAGAAAATATTTGGACTTAAATGATTCACTAATATTTAATTTGAGGCACACTTCAAAAATAATTTACAAAAATAATTTTTCGTTTCCCAATAAGTGGCCTCTAATTAATTAGTAATCAAATCCAATTAATTTTCATAATTTAATTAATATAAATCAAGTCATTTAATTAAATATCATGGATCCAATGCATGAATAATAATAATAAACAATTAATTATTCCATGCATCAGTTAAATAAATAAATAACAGACAGAAGCAATTTAAATGGCCAATGGATTCAGCTTTTAACATTTATATGTTCTAAGTAATGCGCGAGGGTCTATCATTAGCCGCGTCACATGGGATTATTTCCCATCAATCCCTCTTGATCTTCGGCCAAAACCTTGCCGCCAACAACTCTCCGGTCACCGGAAAATCGCCGAAAAATTCCAGAAATTAAATTAGGCCTTAAAAAAATTCCAGAAAAATTCCGGAAAATTTCTAAAAAATCCCAGAAAATTCCTGAAGCCTAATTTAACCCTCTTGGACTTTCTTGAAGCTTCATAGCATCCTTTGACGAAGATTACATGGCTTTAAAAATATTTACAATTTGAAATACAATGGAAAAAATTAAATTACATCATTGAACTTTCAAACGGCTAAATCAAAGCCTTAATTACATTCATCCAAAGATAAAATTACATTAATTTAACCTATAAGCTTCATCCATGGCCCAAACATTCATCAACATTCATCCAATCACAAATATACATACATCATGATCATATAAAAATATATACATATGCATATATAAATTTGGATCCATGAATGATGATTTTCATAAAATCATGATCTCTAGTAATGAATCAAACCATGCTCTGATACCACTGTTGGGAAACGTGCAAGTTTTAAAAACTTTTCGAGGGATTTTGATTTATAGATCTTGATTCATCACATAGAGACAAGTTTTACGCAAAAATAAAAATATGATGTATCATTCAATTAACAGATTGAATACTTACATCAAAGGTCTGAGTAAACCTTTAAAACTTTCCTCTAAAGTGAATGTTCTCACTTATTGTAGATCCCTTAGCAAGATGCATTCTCCTTGGATCTCCATCTTCTTGGTAATTGTTTTGCCTTTAGGAATCACTCATATGCCTCCATGAATGACCTTGAAAAACTAGGCTTGTGGGAGCCTCCATTAGATGAGAACATAAACCCTAATTTTCTAGAGAGAGAAAATATATTCCTTTTTCCTTCTACTAAAAATCACCCCTAAAATATACATAAACCATGTATATTTATAGACAACATAAAAATAAAGAAAAGGAAATAACAAATCCTTCTCCATCTCTAATTCATATGTCTCAAATCTAATATAATTCCAATATCAAGTTGGGCTATGAGTGAGAATCCACTGGGCCTATTATTTTATTGGCTACAATGAATTAATAATTGGCCCGGACCATGGACCCAATTCAATTAATTCATAAATTAATTTCTACTCCACTAAAAGAAATTAATTGAACTCCAATTAAATAATAAATAACCTCTAAGTCAATATTGCACTTTGACCCCTCTATGCATAATTAGTTATCGGATAAATAAAGCCATCAATCCGACTACTTAATTAATATATCTATTTTGGTACCTCTGATTATTTCTGGCTCGATCACAATAAAACATTTGTTTGACAAAAATAATAATTTAAATAAATAAATATATAATAAATCATTTTGTCTAAAAACACACGAAGGCCTTCGAATTTACTTTGTGATCAACCATAATCAATACAAAATAAATACAAGTAGCAATGATGCAAATATTGAAAATATAACCCTCTAACTATTAATTACATAATTACCCAAAGTGTCGGTCTAAGGATCCCGAAGAATCCGCCGAATAAATCAAAGTAATTATTAATTAATAAAAGAGTCTATAATTTTCTCATACTTAAGAGTCAAATGCCATGACGGTGATAGGGAGCAATTGCATACGACGGCTCTCGCAATATATCTCAACCTAACGCGAATCCAGTTCAAATCTTAATTAATTATGAATCCATCTATAATTACCGACTATGAACCATTTATGATTACTATTTATATATCATGCATTGATTGCCATCACAAACATATATATAAATATCTCTTGTAATCAAATGGACACTATCAATTCTATAATGAATCGAAATATAATATATTAAATTCACCAATTGTATAAAACATAAATATTTCATAAACGTCAGGAACATATGTCACTTTAATCCAAACAGAAATTTGCTATGCCAAGGCATATAAATCCCAACAGACATTACACACAACCCGTTCCCGTTCCCATTCGCAACAATCAGTAGTGGTTTCTTCACCATTTGAGTCCTCCCATGATGGCAAGGAAGAAGAGCCATATGGGTTGTTGATGTAAGCTTTGAGCTGCAAAAGACCGATTCTCTCTTGCTCCCAACACCCATCACACCCATTCACCAAAACCAACATCAACAATATTAATAACCTCATGAATACTCGCTCAGAGTACTTCATTACTGAATTAGTATGCCTTGCCCTCTTTTTCATGCTTGGTAATTGAATGTATATATATAAATATCGTTTGTGTAAATTTTTAATAGTATTTAAGAGAGACATGTGGAGTCCACACTATAAATGTGAAAGAAAGAAAAATGCGCCTTTGGTTTGTGTAAACTCTAGCTGCACCTTTCAAAAAAAAAAAAAAAAAAACAACCAACCCTAAACCTACATATTATATTTAAATTCGACTTGATGGTCATAATTAAAGCGATATGATATTTGGCGGCATCAAATCAAGGTCTTGAATTTAGGATTGAAAAAAATTGAGAGACAATATTAGCACTTCATTTTTATACAATTGTACATTACTATTAATGAAAAGAAATGTCACTTTTATTCCTAATTCTATAAATAAGTAATTTTCTTTTCTAAATACCATAATTACCCTTTTTTACAATTGTACTCCATTAGAAGGAAGGAACATTAACCCGATTGCAACAATAAGCCTAAATATTATAGCACTGATTCCAATTTTTGTCAGGATAAAAGTAGCATCTTTCTTCTTATGATATAGAATAATTGCAATCAAAGTAGCGTCAAAGCCAAATGAAATCTTTGGCGGGATCTTATTTCTCACACGCACATTGTTTCACTGCCTTTTGATGAACACTAATCCATTGTCTTAATAATTTTAGTTGAGTAAATTATCTTCTCCAAAAAAAAAAAAAAAAAGAAAAAAAATAAAAAGAAGGAAAGTATTAGGGTAAGTAAAGAATGTGAAAAAAGAAAGTTTATAGTGTAAATAGTAATTATGATACTGTAAAATAGAAGTGGTGTATTAATGAGTTTAGGGACTTTTATGTCATTTACTTTTGAGGAAAAAAAAATGTGGATTACAATTATAGAAAAGTGGGATGTAAATAGGCTCTAAAAAATTTAATACAAATTTTGACTTCAAATTTCAAATTAAGGCACAGATTGAGTGCTTCCAAACATAATATTAATTTTTGTATAAATTAGTGAGTTGATGTGAAACTGAAAGAGGCTGTGGAGAGTGAGGAGAGTGACCGGTGCGGGGAAAAAGATCCAATCTTGTCGTAAGAGAGATACACATTAAGAGAGAGACTTTGGGATCAAGCCATAAAGCAATAGTCATTATAAAATAGGGTCAAGCGTATAAAATATCCTTATACTATGCTTACAATGCACATCGCACCCTAAGCGTGCGAAAAATACACTTAATGTATCAAATTTGTGCAAATAGGTACATATTTAAAGTAGAGTTAGATTAAAGTGCCCTTACTTGACATTTTATACAATATATATATATATATATATATATATATATATATATATATATCATTTTGTAAAATGACTTAAAAGGACTTTGTGCAACCAACTCCTAGTGTTATGTGAACATGAAATGAATTTTTTTATTTTTTTTCAGAATTATTGAATTCTGATTCTTTACCAAAATTATTGCATATGAAATGCAATAATAAATAAATTCTTTTTTATTTATACCCTTAATATACATATATTTATTTGTTTATTTATTTTGCCATGATTTTTGTATTTTAGCTAGGATTGTTTATGTTGAACTAAAAAAGAATTTTAAATGAGATTTAATTTAAAAATATAGAAAATTTTCTACAATTTCATACCTGAAATAAATAAATAATTAATTATTGCATTTTATGTGCAATAATTTGGTAAAGAATCAGAATTCAATAAATATCAAAGTTAATAATTATAAAGAATTTCAATAATTCTAAAAGAAGAAAAAAAATTGCATTCCATGTGCACATAGCACCGTGCCCTCTACTATGAGATTAGTAACATATATACTCTTTAAGATTTTTAAAAAAATAAAAGAGTAAAATGAATATTATAACACTAATTTATGATGAATATTTTTTACACACTTTTTAAATAAGAGATAAAAATACTGTCCCAAGAATACATTAAGTACTGGCCCCTTCTAAAATACGAGTATCCCCCGCATTTGTTATGCCATTTGACACGGACGAGGATCTAATTATGAAAGTCCCCAAAGGCATCTTCCATGGTACACCATTTATTTTGAAATGATCCCACCACCATGTACATTTGTAATCCCATTTGACGACTTGATTGGAAAAATTGACAATGGACATGAGAAACACGAAATAAATAAATAAATAAAGAAAAAAATTCAGTTTTCTTGGGTAAATTTAGATACGATTTCAATTGAAGGATAGAGAATGAGAACTTGAAAAAAGAAAAAGAAAAAGAAAAAAAAGTAATAGCACACTGAAGACAATATATCATACATATATATATATATATATATATATATGATGTCCAAAAATTCACTGAAAATTTATATTCACAATCCACATTAAGATAAATAAGCATTTTATTACAATGAAAAATATTAAATATTGTTTGAAGAGTTTAAATTTACAGACACGCGCCTAAAACATTTTTCACATGTATTTTTATGGCCATTTTAAAGAAGTATGGGAAATCTTGATATTTCAACTTTATTTCTCAAAAGTCATATTCATGCCTAGTACCAGATGTATGTGTAATAAGGAAAATCACTACTCCGTGTAATAATAAATGTGAATGAAATAAAACTGCTCGGCTGGAAATTGTGCAGCACTAACCTAGTGCTTCACATTTCGAAGAAGTCAACATCAATTAGTACTTTTAATTGCTTCGCATTTTTATTTGCTGTGATGCCATCGAATTAAAGTGAAGAGTAAACCTATCACGTGGGTCATTTCGAAATTCGGGGTATCACATTTCGTAATAAAAATGTATGAGATTTTCTTATTTAGTAACTAAATTAAGATAATTTATTAAGATTTATGAAAACTCATGCATTTTGTCATGAGGACTTTACAGCATTATATTGGTAAGAAACATACCCACTTTGTTCCTTTAATAATTCAAATATTTATCATTCACTTTAGAAGGTAGATGAGATATTACTATATGCAAGTACTCGGTATAAAAAAGTGAATCCTTTACTTTTTTTTTTTTTCGGTATAATGTTTGCCTACTTTTATGCAGCTATGTGCATGGTGTGCCCGGGCGAGCTCTTCACTTACAGCTCACTCACACAAGGAGGACCGATTTGGGGTTGCTCAACTCTCTGGTAGCAATGCGGCTGTTATCTCAACGCTATTGTCCTGCTTGCTTGCTGTTGAAACATTTATGGGGAAGAAGATCAACTTGCAATCCCCAAATCTTGTGACGGGTCCGACTTTTATGAAATTTGCAACAGTGAGCACAGGAAGGAGTGATGTGGGTTTTGGTGGCACTGGAAAAAGGATACGAAACCCTCAGTACTCGAAAGCATATTGTATGGCTGACATTCTGAGGACTTCTATTTACTGCATCTTGTCTACTTTCCATGATGAGATGCTCAGTGCTGCTAAAGCAGGACTTCTTGAGAAGGACTGGATCATGAGTAGTAAGCCTCCTTATGGTACCCACGGGATCCTTCTGCAGAAATTGAAGCTTTTCTTAGATTTCAACGCTAGCTAGTGGTGTGCGTAGCAGTGTTCTCCTTAACTACTTATCTCAGGTATGAGACCAAAATCTGGAATTTGGCAATTGAGAGAAGTTGATACTTCCCGCAATTCACATTTTTGTTGGGAAACAAAATCAGAGGAAGAGAACCTGTAATATCATGTCACCTGTTGTTTTGTAGCATCAAGTTGAATTGCATTTGTATTTATGAAAGCTAAAAGGAAAAAGTTTTACTGCAAGGTGATATTGTATTTCTTTTGGTGGCAATTACTGTTTGCTGGATTACTCGGAACAAAAGCCGAACAAAAAGTTGCATGATTATGTTTAAAGAAGATGCCAATGGTGTGCATTTGATAGTTAATCATGTACACAATCAATCTGAAGTTGAGACACCATGTACACATCACACAAGAACTTAATAATTCGATCTTTACCAATTTTGGAACTATTTTCTTCCAAAGTCAATAAATATAGGTCTCATTCCAAAAATAAATATATTATTTTTTATGATATTTTTAAATTATTCTTTTAAAATTGATTTAATTAAACAAGTGTACAAGGATAAATTTGATAATTTTATCCTACCCTCTAATAATTTTATCACCATGGTTACTAACTGTACCCAAATTTCATTATTTTACATTCGGTTATTTGTTCTCACACACTAGTGGGTGAATTTCACATGATTCGCCTTATTTGCAATACTTTTTAATCTGGTTTATTTAATTTTATTTGAGTTCTATATTGACATGTTGCCCTCGACAAATGAGAGAAAACAACTGAAGGGAATAATTTTGTGGGACCGTCAATTGTTAAACCATTTATAATGTAAACATCCCCCAACCTACATTCTACTTAGATGTTGCGAATAAAATTGGATGGACCATTTTCTAATCTTACGAGAAATTGGGAAAAAAGGTAGGACCCGCAAATTTGTCTTGACAGGCAATCCATCAATTATGTTAAAGAAAGTTGACAGGACACACCAATCTGTTTCATGCATATCTCTAATGCGAAGATTAAATACGTAAAGCCATATATTATTATTAATATGAAAAGTTCAATAAATGTAGTCTTAAAATCAGGTATCGACAAATGTCACCTAACAGAGTATCAGAAACTTGTTGGTCCAGTTGTTATTCGAATGGGTGTCTATTGTGAATCAAACCCCCAAAAACGTCGCCAACGAGACATGCGTGTACAAGGAGTTGATAATATTTGAGATGTACAAGGAGTTGGTAATATTTGAGATTTATTTTGTTCCGTTCTTATATAGATTTGACTATATAAAAAACACAATCAAATCAATAAGAAAAAAACACCCCCGCCTCACATGCAAATACACAGAGGGAGAAAGGATTTGTTCATGTCAACTGTTTACAGTGACTCTGTTTCAACCGGGGGGCCATGAAGAGAAGTGTTTTCATATATGCTAGGCTGCTAGCTAGAGCATATATATATATATATATATATATATATATATATATATATTA